GTAACGTTGACGTCTGATGAAGAAATTCTTCGAATTCTTCTATATGCATTCAATCAACAACATGAATCTAAATAATAATAACACAATATATAACAAAATAAACACTAAAGTATACGATTAAAATTTATTCTCTACATATTTTCTATTACGACCAAAGCAAATGACGTTCGGAATAAGAAAAAAGCAAAGCAAATTACATGATAAGTCAACAAAAACTATAAAATTAAGAAACATATACTTACTCCACTCGATTTTAATATCCTCTACCTTTGTACCAACAATTAAATAAAAGAACCTTCATCCATACGGATGTATTCATACGATATTGTATACATCATCATCAAACGTAGTCTCGACGCGTATATGACATGCAATACAAACAGCACATTTCCATAAGCCATTATACGACAATACATACTATTGAAAAACTCCGCAATAAACAACATATTCTTTGCGTAAATTCAAAAACCCAGAGGCAAACAGACCAAGGTAATCAAATGCGACCGCTTATGAAAATGGCAAAGAGCAACCATGACCAAGCAACAGCCCCGATACACCACAATCCAAAAATTGTGCGATCTGTCTAATGAAAATAAATACAATACGATCAATATAAAAAAATTAGCAACATCACAGCGATCGACACGACAAAAATATACAACGTACCCAAGCCACCGAAAATAGAATAAAACATTTGCCAGCTCCAAAAAATATCATTTTTACATGTTCATATAATCCAAATCACTCTATCAATCGAATTCATAGACGCTTTACGATATACTGCAGCGAAACAATGGAAAAAACAACAAAAAACAGCGATTATTAGCAATCCGTACCAACATGTACGTTAACTGCACTGAGAAAATCAAACTACAATTCGATTACAACTGCAAAACTCCGCAGACAATAGACTTTTACCGAATGCGAGGAATCAATGGACAACAAATGTACAGAGCGAGTGCTCAATACATTAACGGAAACATGAATAAAAATATAATTACTAGAAGATGCTTGAATAACACAGCCATTTAGTAACAAACAAAAATTCGTCTCAAGAGTCAGCGATGGTGTCATTGCAAGATTTAGCAATGGTAAAATCATTTGCTACTAAAAAAAACTAACCGCAAGATTCAGCATATAATGAAGCATGTATATTAAGAGCTATAGCTATAACAATTTTTTTTTAATGAAGTAGACTTCTCTCTTCCTGTATATATATATATAAAGGGTGTCTTATAGTAACTAATGATAAATAGTTAATAGTATTTTTTATACTTTTTTCTTGAAATAGAGAGCTAAAATTTTGATCACATATGTGTCTAATTAAGATTCTTTATTTGTGACAGTTTCAGTTCTCCGGCTATAACTACTGATGAGATACATCAACAAGATTGAAATACATAAATTTTCATATTCATTTTTGTATTTTAATTAGACAGTGAAAATGATGTAAAAATCGAGTACGAAAATGTAAGTATTTCAATCTTGTCAATGTATTTTATCAGTAGTTATAGCTAGAGAACTGAAACTTCCAGAAATAAAGGATCTTGATTAGATATGTATATGATAAAAATTTCCGTTCTCTACATCAACGAAAAGTGTGAAAAAATATCGATAACTTCATATGTAACAAAGTTGATATAATATATTTTTTACTATATAAATTGATATATTCAGTCGACGCCTATTTTGATATATGATATACATCAATATCTACTTTAATTCCACTAAATAGGCATTAAATGTAGATTGAGAGAAGAATAAAATAATAATAAAAATTTTTACTTTTATTTCAGATTTGTCCGGTGTTTTTATAGCACATATATATTTATAATGGCAAGTGGACAGACTTCAAGTTTATTTATTGATAATGCACATAAAATTTTATCGGTTGATGTACCGAACTATAATCATGATACTCTTAATAAATTGTTGACATCAGTGGGTGTTAAATCACATGGAACAATAACTTGTATGAAAAAGAAATTTATTCAAAACAACAAATTAATTTTTAGATTTATTTTCTAGTTTCTGATGATAAATCTCATCAAGCAGATTTTATTCGTATACCAAATGATGCACCTGTTATGCATGTTCAAGAATTCTTGAATCGACACTGGTTTGATGAAGTAGGTTATTTAGATTTTTTTTAGCGTCCATCACTTGTCATATCAATAACTGGTGGTGCAAAAGAATATAATATGACACCAAGATTATTAAGAGCGCTCCGACGTGGCCTTCTTAAAGTTGCTCGAACAACTGGTATTAAAAAAGTGAAATAGTTTTTAATGAGAAAATAACTAGGATATCAAACATTGCGTTTAAAAACTTCTTGCTAATTTTTGAAAATAGTCATCAAAATTGATATATATGAAAGAACTGTTAGATATTTAGTTAAGTCTTTTTTTCGTTGTATGAATTATGACATATGTTAATTATATAATGTGTCACAAAATGGGATAAATAATAGAGCGTAACTTTCTTGCTATGAATTTTTAAAATTTTTAATTGATATCATTGAAAAAAAAAAAGATTTTATTTCTATTGTTCAATTTTAGGTGCATGGATTATTACAGGTGGCATGAATACAGGTATTATGAAACTTGTCGGTGAGATTGTGCAAATAAATCCTGATCGTTTTCGACCAATTCCTTTAATTGTAAGTATTATGTAATTAAAGGATTTTTTTAAAAATAATCAAATAATATTAGGGTATTGCTACTTGGGGTTGTGTATCCGGTCGTCAGGATCTTGATGTGCATGGCTCATGTGTACATTATGCTGAATCACATAGTAATATAAAAGGTGAAGCACCACTTGAACCAAATCATACAAAATTTATTTTTGTTGATGATGGAAGTGAAAAAAAATATGGTCGAGAAATAGCTTTTCGAGCTAAACTTGAACAAGCTATATCTGGTAGATTTTTTTCTTCAAAAGCTACAACAAATTCTTTAAATCAATATGCAAGTTTATGTGAAGCTTCATCTTTACGATCAGAAAATTCAGGTTCATATGAAAATTTAATCTTGTTTATTAATAATAATTTTTCTTCTGATATAGATCCAGTACCTGTTGTTCTTCTTGTTGTCGAGGGTGGTCCAAATACAGTTCGAAGAGGTAAAAAGAAAACAAAAAGATTATTTATTTAAAACAAAAGAAAAACTTAAAATTAACATTTTTCATTTGTTTATAGTCAAGGAAGCTGTTGTTGAAAATAACATTCCAGTTGTTTTTCTCGAAGGAACAGGTCATTGTTGTAATTTATTCGCTAAAGCATTCCATCTTTATAATCAATATCGTACAAAAATTGAATCTGATGATGAAACACCATCAAAGTAAATATGAATGAAAAGAGAATTATTCATATATTCACATTAACTTCTAAAAGTGATTTATTTTGAGATTTTAAAAATTCATCGAATAATTCTATTTCATAGGGATAGTGGATCAGAAATAGAAATAATTCCATACAATGCGAGATTGAGTTCTAACATGAGTTGCAAAAGAAATGAAAAAAAATGTCAAGTTTCTTTAGACCATATTAGTGACTTCTAAAGCAACTATAATTATTTTTCTGTTGGAAAGAGCAATATCCGAACTACAAATTTTGCAACTGTGAACATCGGTATTTTTCAATTATTTCCGGCACGTGGACCGAATTTTATTAAAAAATATACAGAAATATAGTTCATAAAAAACTTTTTTTAGATTAACTTCGAACTGCTTAATTAAAACGATTTGAAAAATGAAGCCTTTTGCTAGAACTATGAATTTTCAAAAACATTAGTCATCATCTCAAGAAACTGTGCATGACTTTAATTCTTTTTGCGTTATTTGTTCGAACTATGTCGAATCACAGAAACTTAGCAGAAATAAATTATTTCGTCTCTTTCTTAAAAATTAATATTATAGTATAAAAATCAAGAGCAAATTTAACTTTCAAATCACCATTGAAAAAGCCATTTGTTATGCTACAAAAAGCAACATTAAAAGTTTTTTTGCTGGATAGTATAATTGCAAGAGCTTTTTCTTAAAAGTGTGTTTGATTTTCAGTTTTTCCTTCGTCTCAAACTTGTTCAGAAAAAAAAATGTCTGATACAAGATTTCCTCTTTCCATCAGAAATATATTTGATTAATTTAGATGTCGGCAATATGATCCAGTAGAGTTTGACATTTTTTTGAGGAGTTAAATACAGCAGCATCTGAGCACCAAATTTTACTACAAAATGCTGTAGTGCTCATACATAATTGAAATTAGACTAGAAATGAAGGTAATAGCTGTAAGTGAAAGTTATACTATTTTAATATGATTTTTTCAATCAAGACAAGATTATTTTTCGAAAATAATGGTTTTTTAAATAAAACTTGACCAAAGCTTTTTGGGATTGAGAAGCCCGAATGGCTACTCGATTTTTCCAGCTAGTGAAAGCCTATTTCAAACGAAACACCCACACCCACACTCTTCGAAAAACCGATTAGAGATTCGGATTCCTCGACTCCAGAACATGTTTAGTCAAGTTTTTTAAAAAACTCATTGTTTTCAACAAACGCTAGAGCTTTTTCTAGACCAGTCAGACTGGCGTGAGACATCGTTGACTTTTCTCGCCTTATATGAGTCATATCTAACTATGAATCACTACACAAATTACTTAAGACTTCTGTTTTAACACCGAGGAGCCTTTCTGGGACATGATTATTAATAGACATTCAAGGCTATGGCGAGAAACTTGATCCTATCTTCCTAGCTGGCTCCAAAAATCATGGAAAATCTACCTATTGATACTCTTAGCCACCAAAAAATAGAAAAAAAAAATCTTGACCGGACTGGACCGAATCGGCCGTTTACCGTTACTGGTTGCAATACTGAGTAGCTTTGTCTTGATTGAAAAAATCGAATTAAAAGAGTATAACTCTCACTCATAACCATCACTTTAATTTCAAATTTAATTCTAAATATGTATCAGCATCACAACACCAAAAAAAAAATGCTGTAAGTTCCAAATCTGGATTTTTCTTCTTGGGTTTTCTTCCACTTCTTTTTCAACACATATTATTGATAACATAAAGAAGAATACGATTCCTATGATGAATTTTGATTGAAAACTAAGTCTTTTTTTGTTTTAGTATTGATCCAGTTATTTTAACAAAACGTTACGATGAATTAAAAATAAAACTTCGTGAAGAACTTAAAGAAGAACTTCGTGCAATTAGTGGTTCAAATGAAAGACCAAGGACAACGGATAATAGTGCGCATTCTGTTGATAAAACTGATTATTTTGAATCAGTTTATGAATGTATTCATACTCGAAGAAATTTTTTAAATGTAATCAGTCTTAGTTCACATCAATCAGTTGAACCTGATATTGATTTAGTTATTTTACAAACTCTATTAAACGGTTAGGAGAAAGAAACTATATATATTGAATTAATTTATTATTTATTTTAACAAAAAAAAATTTTGTTTATTTAGCTACTTCTGGTATTGATGACTGTAAAACAAATATGCAACGAAAACGTGAACAACTTCATTTAGCATTAGAATGGAATCGTGTGGATATAGCTCGAAATTATATTATGAGAAATGAAGCAGATTGGGTAAAGCAAAAAAAAAATGAAATGAATTTCTTTTGAAAAATTCTTTTCTATTCTATGTTTGTTTGTTTTATTATTATTCTTATTTATATTAGAATATTGATTTAAATGATTTATTTTTATTGGCACTTATCCGTAATCAAACAGCATTTGTTAAATTATTTCTTGATCATGATTTTTCATTAACTGATTTATTTCGTGATGTTGATAAACTTCTTACACTTTATAATCATGAAAAAAAAGAAGTAAATTAATTTTAATTACATATATCTTTTTTTTGTTACTTTTATTTTATAGACTCATGATTTAGTACAAGATTCTCACGATACATTACGAACATTATATAAAGAAAGAATTCAACCATTAATAGGAGGTTTTTTTGAAGTTGATACTGCACTTTCTCAAAAAGATTCAACATTAAATCCTGAATCTAAAAATGAAAGTGACGATGAATTAGGTAGTTGTTGTGGACCAAGATGTTATCATAGTCCTCCAGGAAGTAATCATGGTGGTAGTGTACGTTCAGAAGGTAAGTTTTATACGTATTTGTTAAAAAGTATAATCTGCGAAATTTTTATCAAAGATAATTTTTTATTTTCTCAGTTAATTAAAATGTTCAAAATGATAAAATTGTGTAGGCAAAATATTCATTGTGCATGTTGAAGTGGTATTTTTCTTTTATGCATGAATTTGATTGCATTCGAATGTTTCAATTTGTCTGAGATACGAATGAATTGATGAATATTCACTTGAAATAAATAATATGAATAATTTTATTTCGTATAATTTATTGAAGAAAAATTAGAAAGGATGTTAGAGTGTTGGTCTGATCTAAAATTCTTCTCATTAATCCTCATAAAAAGTCGTATGTTTGTAAAATACTTGGTACACTCCATAGTGCTTAGTAGTATGTATTTTCATCAAAAACGTAATGCCCAATAGAATGACATAGTACTTGTCAAAACGGCATAGTGCTTAGCAGTATTCATTTTCCTTAAAAATGATTCATCAGCAGCATACATTTAGATCAAACTATAGTTCTAAGGTTTCGTTCAGCAAGATAATGTCGAAAAATTAGCAACATTTATGAAAAAAACAATGATCAGTTAAGAGTAGATCAGAGGTTCTATTGAACACTTAGCACTGTCGTCTTGCTGAACACTACGTTTTATTGAAAATGCATGCTGTTAAGCACAAAGAAGTGTACCAACTTTTTATAGGGTTTCTTCATTTTTCAGAAATTAATGCGAAGAATGTGAGCCGCAATTGCAAGTCCTGTATTGCTTTCAACCTAACGAGGGAATATCTCCAAGTATCAAACCATTTTTCGACTGAGACGATATTCATTTGATGAGTACTAGTTCCAACCCGTCGTTCTTGAGATATCAAAATTTTACTGGGTTTTTCAGAAAAAAATCTGTGATCCCCTCAGGTCACATGATATTTTCGACTTCAAATATTTCACAAACAAAGTTTTTAATAAGATTAGTTGATTGTGTAAGTTGTAACTTTCTATTATTTCCTTTCTAGAGATGTAAATATATGAACCAAATTCGCTTTGACACATAGAAGAATTTCGAATATTCAATATTTCAAGATAGAAGATACTAGAAAAGTTATCACTTGATCAATAAACTAATCTCATTGAGAATTTTGTTTGTGAAAAGTTTGAAGTCGAAATTGTCAGTTTTTTGATTGAAAAACCTAGTAAAATTTCGATATCTCAAGAACGAAGGCTCGGAACTAGTACTTACCAAATGAATATCATCTCGATCAAGAAGCAATTTGACAGTTGTAGAGATTCCTTTCATGAGTCAAAACGTTATTGGAATTACGCACCGAGCCATTATTCATATAACCAAACAAAAATGAGTTTTAAAAATGATTTGAATACCACATTGTATCTGAAATTTTAGTTTATATATATTATTTATGTATTTTAATTAATGTTCTATTTAAAGGATTAACGGGTGGTTCCGGTATCTATATGGATGTTGATAGAGAACTTTTTTTGTGGTCAGTAATAGCAGGTCGACACGATTTAGCATTACTATTTTGGCCCCGTGGCAAGAATAAAATTTGTAAATGAAAATTTTTCTTCTTAACTATCATAGATAGAAAAAAATATATATATGTCTTAGGTGCTGCATTAATTGCCACATTAGTATATAAAATCCATGCTCATGAAAAGAATGATGATAGTTACAATCAATCAGCTGAGGAATTTGAGTATTTAGCTGTACAAATACTTGACAAATTTTATCAAGCAAATTCTAAAGCATGTTTAAAAGCAATTATACGACAAATTCCAGCTTATGGTAATGCAACATGGTTAGAATTAGCTGTTGCAGCTGATGCTAAATACTTTATTGCTCAACAAGCTGTACAAGATCTATTCAATGATATTTGGTTTGTTAGAAATAAACATTCGAGAAAAAAAACATAATAATAATAAGTTAATATTTCATATAGGTTTGGATATATTAATGAACGAACAGCTCATATAACTATCATTTTTTCTACATTTGTACTTTGGTATAGTGGTTTTCTTCGTTACAATAAAGAATCAGTTACAGCAGATGACAAAAAAGCACTTGATGTACGTATGATAATTAACTTTCAGGTGTTTTTCAATAAATGACATTTTTCTTTTTAATTTTTAGGATTCAATTAATAAACCACATTTGTTTGAGAGACAAACATCAAAACAAAAGCGGATTGGAGATAGGTATTGAATATAAGATTCTATTTATTAAAGTTCTTTGTTTTTTTTTTGTTCCAAAACATTTGAAAATGAAAAAGATTATTCATCAATTATTATTTTATTTGTTAGAGACTTGTATTTATGATACATATACCAGCATATATAATCAAATTAATGATTTTTCGAAAATGATAGAAAAATCCTTATTATTTTTCTTTCTTTATTCACTATTTTCGTCAATTTTTAATTATAGTATTTCTCACGTTTCAATATTATAGAATAATGTACTCTGGACATTTTGACAGCTTCATTCACAAAGAACTAATATTCATTTCAAAATATAATGTACTCTACTATTTTTTGAATAATGTTTGATAGAAATATTATATAGATCTGACACTATTGAAGTATGTCGAAATTTGATTGATCAGCAATCGATCAATCAAATTTCAATATGCTTCGATGGCTTTGAGTCTTCTTTCTTGAACAGCGAAAACCACAGATCTCTATGATGTTCCTATCAAAAGTTATGCGAAAAGCAACTGATAAACTGTTTATCTTCGTTCGAGTCTTTCTCGCGATTCATAATGAACAATTGTAAGACTCATTATACTATATGATTTCTTCTGACAGGTTTGTTGAGTTTGGCTGTTTTCAAACGCAAGAAAGATGATTTGTAGACAAAAAAAATATAATACAACAGCTACTTATATTTGCAATGATTGTTTGGTTTTTAATTAACACTAGATTACATATTAGAATTAGATAGAAACAAATAATAACAATTCGTTTTATTTTATTCTTCTAGGACACGAAGTGCAATTTCTCAATATTTTTGCAACATAACTACATTTATACGTACTCCATATGTTAAATATCTTTATAATTTAGTAAGTATTCAACTAGATAAAAATAGTTTCTGTTTTTTTGTTTTGTTTCAAGAGAATATCTCACTTTGAAAATTAATTTGCCTATAATTTCATTTAGTATTATTATTTATTTTCTTTTATTTTTAGTATGCTCATATGATATTTTTGTTACTTTTTTCCTATGTAATATTATGTGATTTTTTTCCACTCTATAATTTTCCAGTGGATACATGTGCACCATTTAGTAATTCAGTAAATCGTAAAGACTCTATTGGTGACAAAGATGATAATGAACCAGGTACAACTAATATGTGGTCTGGAAATCAGTATAATACTAGTAAATCAGTTTCATATGGATTTCAACGACGTAAACAACCGTCTATTAATGAAATTATACTTGTCATATGGGTATTTACATTAGTTTGCGAAGAAATTCGACAGGTAATTTGTTTGAATATATCTATAAATATATACGTATAATCTGTTGTTTTTATAGCTATTCACAATAGAAGCACAAACAACACGAAATGCTATTATGGCTTATTTTAAAAATTTTTGGAATAAATTAAATGTTTTAGCTATAATTTTATTCTTCGTCGGTGTTGCACTTCGTTATATTCCAACGTCACAATGTTTTTGTGCAGCATATATTGTTTTATCAGTTGATTTAGGAATTTGGTTTATACGTTCATTGCATCTGTTTGCTGCTGTAAAACGACTTGGACTTAAACTTGTTATGATTGGTGAAATGGTAAATAATCTAATTGATTTTGTAAAACACGATCTAAAAGAAGTGCTGAAGTATATAGAGCAGAAATTTACATTCTTCTTCTTGAGCCCCTATAGACTGTGATAATCACTAGTTAGAGTTCATCACAAGTCGTAACTAGAATCCATCGAGTTCGGACCCAGAAATTTTTGGACTCGATGAACTCTAGTCATAACAGACGCTGAGGAGAGAACGTGACAGATGTTATTGATATACGATCATAGATCATATATCAATAATGACTCGTTAAAATTTGTTAACTACTTCCTTATTATATTTCTAGAGAATTAAGTAAAAGGAGGGTGACGAAATGTGTCCCAAGATAGACAGAATCAAACAATCTCTCTATGATTAGCAACGATACCTATATTATGTTTTACAAGTTAATCTCGTAGGAATTTTTCTAACAGCTTTTGTTTTTTGTAATATTTTTTCAAGGTACATGATTTGAAATTTTTCATGTTAATGTTCTTTGTATTTATCTTGGCATTTGGCGTACCATTTTATGGTTTAGTACATGGTGTACAAAAATTTTCTCGACATTTACCACGTGAAATTAAAAAAGAAAACTTTTAATTGAATAATATTATGATTGTTTTTTTTTTTTGTTATTGAGACAATTATGAACCAAATGGTTATGCAGCGTCTATTTTATTGGTTGCTTATATGACGATTGTTAGCATACTCTTGGTTAATCTACTTATTGCTATGTTCAGGTATTGAAAAGCAAATGAGAATAATAAAAATTGATTGTAAAAATTTCAAATAATTCGATGATTATCAATTATGCTAAATGAAAATGAGTTCCATATGATTTTATTAGAGTTTGATTTTTAATTTTTGGACTGATTTCTACTAACATAAGATATTCTTTTTTTCCACTATCTTCAAAAAAAAAGTCGATGGTCTATATGTACCAAAATCATTTCCATCGATCTAAATAATGTTTAACTTAAATTGCACATTTTATTTTAACCTAGTAATACATTCGATCGTCTTCAAAGTGATACAGATCGTATCTGGAAATTTCAACGATATTCATTAGTATGTGAATATTTATCACGTCCATCATTACCACCACCTCTCATTTTCTTCTCTCATCTTTGGCGATTAACATTATCGACATTGGCACGGTGTTGTAAATCACAATGTATTCAAACTAAATATCAACAACATTTGAATCGAATAAAATACAGTAAAGATATAATTATTGTTTTCTTTAAATAAATTATTTGATGGTATTTTTTTTAGAAATTTCACTTGATGACAAAAGTGCAACAAATATTGAAATAGCTGAAGATGCACTTGGTGATGAACTTTATAATAATTTTTTAAAACTAGCAGAAAAAGTATCCGATGATACTAATCTAGATGAAGAACGAGTGTGAGTAACAAGTTTAAATCAAGTACTACTAGTATTATACAAAATTGATCAAAAAAAACACATGAGGCAAACGTATTTTTGATTTTTTTTCTATGATATCAAGCATTAAATCTAAATAGTGATTTGAATAGTCAATAAAGTTCTCTATCAAATGCATAAAAGCACTATGATAGACAAGGGTGTGGGTGTGGGTGTGGGTGTGGAGTGTGGGTGTGGAGTGTGGGTGTGGATGTGGGTGTGGGTGGGTATGGGTGTGGGGTAGAATAACCAAGGGGGAAACAGCAGAGACTTCAGTCGTGAAGTCCCATGAAATCTTGAAAGTCTTTCGAAGTCTTCTGAAGTCTCTTTGAAGTCTTATGAATTCTCATGAATTCTCATAAAGTCTCTTGAAGTCTCTGAAGTCTCATAAAGTCTTCTGAAGTCTCATAAAGTCTTATGAAGTCTTATAAAGTCTCATGAAGTCTCATGAAGTCTAATGAAGTCTCACGAAGTCTCACGAAGTCTCATGAAGTCTCATGAAGTCTCATGAAGTCTAATGAAGTCTCATGAAGTCTCTTGAAGTCTCTTGAATTCTAATGCAGTATCATGAAGTCTTATGAAGTCTCATGAAGTCTCATGAAGTCTCTTGAAGTCTCTTGAAGTCTCTTGAAGTCTTTTGAAGTCTAATGAAGTCTCATGGAAGTTTTGAAATACATTTAGTGCATGAAAATTCATAAAAAAGCAATGAAATTGTCTTGTTTTCGACGGTCTTATTTTAGCAGAAAGGTGAACTTTTTATTGTTTGTTTGTCAAGGTACTGGAAAAAAATTCAAGTTTGTTGGATCTTAGAAAACATGATAGTTAAGAACTGAATACTTTGTGAATGAAGTGGTTTATTTTTATAAGAAATGTTTCATTTATTCGATGTCAATCTTATGAAGAATTTTATTCCTTTTTGTTTATTTCTATCACTCGTGATAATCTATCAGCTGATAAACGGCTAGCTTCGTCGGTCAATAACCAACAAGTCGTTTGCTTGTGTATAAATTTAGTCTTGTTATTTATTTGCACCTGAAAATAGGAGTTTTCCAATGCTGGATTAATCGAATCAAACATACGCATACCAGTAAAGTTTATTTTCTCTGTTTTAATTTCATCAACGCTTTGTGTCATTGTCACATCTTTATTCTAGATATGGATATACTGCGAGAAACAATTCTCAGAAACAAGAAACACTTTTGTAATCTCTATATGATAACCCAGGTCGATCATTACGATCTCCGTATACGGTCGTTTACTATCGTATACGACGCCGTATACGATCGTATACATATTATATACGCTCCGTATACGACCGTATTTCTCCGTAATACATGAGGCCGTATTACGACCGTATATTGCCGTGGACTGTATACGGAGAAATACGGCGAGATACGGAGACCGTATACGGAGCGTTTAGGCTCGTAAACGACCGTATTTCCACCGTATACGGTCGTAAAAGATCGTGTTTTGCCGTGTGTGTGGGGAAAAATATTGACCCTTTTACCTTTAGTTACACGTACATCAGTGATATTTTCACTAAGACGTATGCCTACGTATTTATCTATTCATCTACCTATCTATGTATCTACCTACCTATCTATCTATCTACCTCTACCTATCTATCTATCTACCTCTACCTATCTATCTATCTATCTATCTACC